GAGCCCCCATGAATGAGATTAGTGCCCTTATAAAAGAGACCCCAAAGAGCACCCTTGTGCCCTTCTGCCAGTTAAGGATATGGTGAGAAGTGGGCCACCTATGAACAGGAAGCAGGCCCTCACCACACACTGCATCTGCCGGTGCCTTGATCTTAGACTTTCCAGCCTTTAGAACTGTGAGGAATGTTTCCTGTTTACAAGCCATCTCCTCTGGTATTCTGTTGCAGCAGCTTGAATGGATTAAGTCTCCCTGTAAGCTTTCTTTATCTCAGAGATCAAGGAAGGAGAGCAGGCCAGCACTTACCATCATGGCTGTGTCCACAGTTCTTGGTCATGTCCACATGTGGTTCTCCCCCACTTTCTCTGGGGGGCTGGGCTCCCTTTCTCTGTGCCTGGGTGGGTTCCCCTGCAGTACCTGTGTCTACCAAGAGATCTGTTAGGTTCTCCCTTGAGACAAGGAGATGGTCCTGTTCTACTTGTGCTAAAGGTGACCCACCCTGGGCTGCCGCCTCAAGAGCTCTCTCTGGCTGAAGAACAGGAACAACCCACTCTGTCCCAGCATCCCCTTCTGCTGGAAGCTGGCTCTTTCTTACACCTGCCACTGCGGAGGATGCACCCTCCGCAGCATCTGTTCCACAGTACCCACCTGGAGGAGGCCGGGCTTCCTCTAGGCGCACGGCAGGCAGCTTTGCTGGGCCCCCTTCTGCTTCCACATTTGTTGGATTTGTGCCTGCCACAGGCACCTCATGCTTCTCTGGGAGTGTAACAGCTGGCCCCGGGGAGACTTCCTCTTCCACGTGTGTGTTGATGCCCACTGTGGCAGAGGCCTGGCTTCTCTCCAGGACTCCGGGTGAGCTCTTCTCTTCTTCCACTTCTCTGTCACTGTCCCCGAAAGGAGGCGGGCTCTTTTCTGGCTGAGCTTTGTCTGTGTGACTCTTGGGGACATATCCTCTCTTTTCCACTGGGAACCCCTCCACCTCCATGTCTGTGTCACTGTCTCTCCCAGTAGAGGTTTGGCTTTGCTCAAGAAAAGCCGGAGGTTGGGCTCTGTCCTCTTCCACATCTGTATCTCTGTTCCAGGCAGTGGCTCGGCTCTCCTTCAGATGCACCAAAGTGAGTGCTGCTGACACTCCTTCCTCATCATCTACATTGCTGTTGCTCACCATGGAGGCTTGGCTTCGCTCCAGAGGGACCGTGAGTGGGGCCTCAGCCTCCTCCACATCTGTCTCACTGCCAGCCGGGCTCTCGTGAAGATGTGCCAGGTCAGGTCCCCCAGGACTCTCTGCATTAACTCCATGGAAGATCTGCCTTCTTTTCATGGGCACCATAGCGGGGGTCATGGGAATCCCCTCTTCTTCCACGTCAGTATCACTGTCTATGAAGCCAGAAGGCTGGGCCCTTTCGAGATGACCCTCAGCTGGCTTTCCTGGAGGCCTGCTCTCATCCTCCACATCTGTCTCACTGTCCTCCCCAGGGGGCTGGCTCCTCTCCAGAATCACCCCATTGCTTGCATCTCTCTTGACTCTTATGTCACTGTTCCTTTCCTGCCCCAAAGACGGATCCTTTTCAACCTGGATTTCAGTTCTGACAGCCTCAGGCTGTTCTGTCTCTGCAGTAGCATCTCTTGTAGCAGCTGAGGAGGCCCACCCTGCTGCTGGTTGCTGACTTTCTTCCTCATCTGTGTCACTGTCGAAGTTGAAGGCAGAAGGTGGCCCAGGGCCATCTGGGGCAGAAGAAGGCCCCTCTTCATCACTATAAAGGGAAGAGAAGAGAAAGAGTTTATAGAATCATTTCCCAGGAAGGGATACCTGACTCAAGTGTGAGCTCCTGGAGAGCAGAAACAAGGTAGTATTTGTTTTTCTATCTCCAGCAATTAGTTCTCCACTTGGAACATCAAAGGTGCTCAATGAAAATTCAGTTAATGAAAGAGTATGTGTAGCTCCCCACCCTCATTTCCATGATGATTCTCTGTCTTACAGATGGATTCTTCAGTCCCAAGGTTCCTTCTCTTTCTGAAGACTCAGGTGTCTGGCCCTCAACACTCACCTCTCTGGAACGACTGTTGCCAAAAGGGAGGACATGGTCCTTGGTTCATTCACCACATACCTTTCAGAAAGAGGATCTGCCAAGAGTAGAAAGAAGTTGACAGTTTTACATTCACCATCCCCGTCTCCTTGCCCACCCTCCCAAATACATACACTTACCTACTTCCTCTTCTGAGTCCTCAGCCAATAGAATCCCCCAGGGTTGAGTTCCTCCCTGTACCTTGGGTGTCTCCTCTACAGTTAGGGGGCCCCGGGAGACAAAGGGCAGGGAGACATCCAGGCGATGGTACTGGCAGGGCAAGTCAGCAAAGACAACCAACTCCTGGTCCCTCAGACGATGACTCACCCCAGGGCTCAGGAACTTAGGAGGCCTCAGGATTTGAGTACCATTGAGGCTCCCACAATCCCAGAGGACAGGTGCCTTGTCCCAGGCCAAGATTTCAATCACTGCATGTTGCTTGGAGATGGATGGAAAGGGCAGGGCCACAGAGCAATCAGGCATTCGGCCGACCACGTTTTTCCCGAGGTAGAGTGGGAAATCTAAGAATTAGAGGGTAGATAGGTTCCAGGCCACATTCCTGGCCTGCTACTGGGAAAATTTCTGGTTAAGTACCCAACTACTCATTCAAGGTCCTCACACGCAATAGAAAAATAAAAGGCCCTAGGACATCTAAGTATTGAAGATTATATGCAATACATTATTCATAGGCAACATTCCACCCATCCATACTGGATTTTTTCTATTGTGATAAAATAAACATAAAATAGCACTGTAACCCTTTTTTTTTTTTTTTTTTTTTAAAAATATATTTTATTGATTTTTTACAGAGAGGAAGGGAGAGAGAGATAGAGAGTTAGAAACATCGATGAGAGAGAAACATCGACCAGCTGCCTCCTGCACATCTCCTACTGGGGATGTGCCCACAACCCAGGTACATGCCCTTGACCGGAATCGAACCTGGGACCTTTCAGTCCGCAGGCCGACGCTCTATCCACTGAGCCAAACCGGTTTCGGCGACCCTTTTTAAGTGTACAGTAAAACCACCACGAGTCCAGAGCTCTTGCCTGGAACAAGTCAATTAGCCCCCTCTTCTCCATTCCCAGTAAAACATTTTTTCAGATCTCCTTGAAAACAAGTTTTGCCCTGGCTGGTGTTTCTCAGTGGTTAGAGTGCTGGCCTATGCACAAAAGGTTGTGGGTTTGATTCCGTGAAGGGCATGTACCTGGGTTGCAGGTTTGATCCCAGGCCCCAGTCAGGGCACATGCGAAAGGGAACAAACTGATGTTCTCTCTCTCGCATGAATGTTTCTCTTTCCTTCTCTCCTCTCTAAAAATTAATGGAGCCTGGCTGGTGTGTTCAGAGGTTGAGCATCAACCCATGAACCAGGAGGTCACGGTTCCATTCCCAGCAGGGCACATGCCTGGGTTTCAGGCTTGATCCACAGAAGGGGGCATGCAGGAGGCAGCTGTTCGATGATTCTCTCTTGTAATTGATGTTTCTCTCTCTCCCTCTCCTTTCCTCTCTCTCTGAAGTCAATAAAAACATGTTTTTAAAAAATTATTAAAAATCAATGGAAAAAATATTTTCAGGTGAAGATTAACAAAATATATACGTAAGTTTCTTAGAACCCTCCAACTCCCTCCCCACAGAAGAAAGAGCCTACACTAGTGCTTCAGCATCACTATCCCCTGACCTTTTTCTGGTCCGTGGGCACTACTGAAGACATGCAGTCGCCCTAGGGGCTCCAGGCTACACCCCAAGGAGTCACCGGGTCTCTCTGTCTCCTCCTCTTCTTCAGCCTCCCAGTTAACAGCCTGAGTGTCCTCCATGACCTGGGAAGGAAACACATTATCATCTCTATCATTGTTCACAGTCTCAGAGAGGAGACTCACAACTAGGGGTAAACCGGGATATTTATTCAGTTTGATGCTTCTCTTTATGCCAAGCATTGTTATTATCCTTCTAAAGCATTGAAAAAATATTTCTGACCAGAACATGGGATAAGAAATAAATATCATAAGGCCCCAAGTTCACAAGTAAATATTCCTCAACTTACAACGTAGTTACATCCCGATAAATCCCTCATAAATTGAAAATATTGTAAGATGAAAATGCATTTAATACACCATAGCATAGCCTAGCCTACCTTAAATATGCTAGGAACACTTACATTAGCCTACAGTTGAGCAAAATCATCTAATACAGAGCCTATTTTATAATAGAGGGTTGAATATCTAATGTAATATATTATGTATACCACTTTTACAATATTGTAAAGTAAAAAAATCATAGCTTAGAGAATATGTGTACACATATTTATAGACACATTTATATAGACAGCTGTTTTGAGAAACAATGCTCAGCCTTGCTATATGTAATAGTTTTCGTTGTTTTTTTGTTTTTGTTTTTAAATGCGATTTGTAATCCACTAAATTGACTTCAATATCCACTATTGGGTGGCAACTTAGTTTGAAAACACCATTTCAAAGGGAGTTAACTTTTGCCAAGCATCAACTACATGTTGGGCATTGTGTTGTCAGGCATAGCAGCCACATGAGGCAGGCCTTTAGGAAACCAAGGCTGAAAGTATTAAAAGATCTGCTCAGGATAACACAGCAGGTGGTGCAAAGGACTAAGTATGTGTCTGGCTGCAACGCCCGTGCTTGGTGCTGAGACTAAACCGACTCATTTAACCATCTGAATCCTGTGAAGTTTTATTATCATGTCCTATTTGATAAAGAAATGCAACACAGCCCTGGCGGGCGGCTCAGTTGGCTGGAGCATCATCCTGATAGGCCAAGGTTTTGAGTTCGATCCCTGGCCAGGGCACATACAAGAATCAACCCATGATGCACAAATACGCGGAACAACAAATCGATGTTTCTCCCTCAAATCAATTTAAGGCTCCGGCGGGGG